ATATGCTATATACCTGTTTCCCAATACGGTAATTAATGCCTTAATGSATAGACGTTACGTCATAGCCGCATGTTGAAATGAAAATAATAAATAARGCATCCYCWTTAAACTCAGTTTGTGRTCATTTATCCAACATGGCGACGATAGCTCTTTCYTTCATTAATTCACRCAGGATTCTTGGTCGTGCGAATTTCAATTCRGTGCACGATCAGGCAGTTATTCACGTAAAAATTCCAGCTATCGTTCCCTATGATTTCTTAGTAAAGTTCTAACCTATCATTCTAATGTTCTTAAAAGAGATWACTGTCTTTATTTTTCATTCCTTTGTCCAGCAATCAATTTATACAGAAAGCGCTGAGCTCAAATAGAAACCCCACATCGACCCCAGTGCTGTAATTCACGTTCCACTGAACAAAATAGAAGCTTTTTGACAGGTCATCATTACTGCAACTAAAAATGCCATAAAACTGTTAATCCGTGAAATTTGACGCTAATTGAACAAAAGTATTAAAATTCATTATTCTAACTAACAGTGACCATTAATCAAGGATTTATATCACTATAGAGTAAGCCAGCAATAAATTAGATCATTCAAAGTTAAGAAAGGTAGTTACGAAAATGAGCAAGAATATTAGTATGGTTAAACACTTCATTACAGCTTTGAGCTCCGAACATTAATGAAGAACTTTAGCGGAGTTAGCTCTTGCAGGACTGCCTGGAAAGGCTTTGTTTTCGCTTTCATGGTCTTGGACAACGGAACAATCATATAAAAGAACTTCGAAGTTACATTTRTGTCAAAAGCAATGGCCAACGGCTTGGTATTTGCTGTCCTACTTTTGAAGGTAATCTGATTATGTTTTTTTTATGTATAAAGTTTTATGAAAACTCGGTTTCTCTATAATGTTTCAACGAGCGCATTCGGTCTCAACATTTCCCAATAAATCATGTGCTGCTCTGTATCACTGTATGGTGGTGGTACGGCGTGTCGAACGTTAAGGCTTCGCTAATTGCTGTTAGACTGTTATTTTCATTGATAAAATGCAAAAAAAAAACAAACTCTGAACTATATAAAGTTTTGTTCTTTGAGTTTAATTCTGTTTACTTTCTTCTTTTTAGGTTATCTTTCTTAAATCCAGCGCAACCGCTGAAGGTAAGTTATTAGTCAGCCTTATAATGATCTACAAAAGTTGAAATTAAAAGGATACAATTCCGCCTGTTGTGAGAATTCTAACTTATGAATTTGAAATGAAAAAGAAACTTTTCTTGTTGTAAAACTAGAAGGCCTTTTCTTTGCGTTTTCAACTTGGAGTTAGAAAGACTGATTGTAGATCATTAATTATGAAGGATATCGAGACATTTTCATTCGTCAACGACGGAATACTTGTTTAATGATGAATAATAGTACAGCAAAAATTCAACTAATATTCAACTACTTAAAACGTCTGCGAAACTGACAACGCTTATAAAAACTCTTAGGGATTTTTGTGCAAAAACAGTTTAACAACAGCACGACAAAAATAAATAGCGACGACAATAATCCTTTTTACATAATTGGGATGTAAAGAGATTACTAGATAAGTTGTTTTTCTTTTCATAATCGAAG